TTGAACAAGTAAATAATAAAAACAACTCAAATATAAATAAATAGAATCAATAATCCATCCCACAGTTGGTTTTATCAAAACCCTAGAGAATTTAGCTACTCATAGTAATATATGAAAATACAATACTATAATTCATAACCAATTAGAAAAAAAAAACTCATTGCCAAATTTTCTTGGCCTTTGCTCCTCGTGTGGTTCTTGTCTCCTCAGTAGTATTATGTCTCCCACAAAAACAGTTTAAAGGAGTATTTATACGAGTTAGGGCTCGCATGGGGCGTAACTTAACCAATCCAAGTTAAGATTGGAGAACTGGCAGTTGCATCTGGCCTCGTGCGACGCGAGGCCCATGGACGAACCCCAATTCTTTTTTTTGTTCTTTCTTTCTTGCACTCCTCCGGAGCACCATAAACATAAGAGGGCCTCTCTTATAAAACTCTCATAGTAAAGGGTTAGTTCCGGAAGGGTTTATGCCTGGAACCCAAAAGCTATTGGAAGAAAACACACCCGAAGCCTTACTAAATTGGATGCAAAAAGAACGAACTTTGTGCAATACTTAAACAAAAGATCCTTTTTATTTATCAAACATGCCAAGCGACATAAGTACAAAGCTACAAAAGGAAAAAAACAAAAGAAACGAAAGCGAAAAGGCTAAACTTCATCATCACCAGAATTCAAGGGAAGAGAGGATCTACGACCGTGGGAGAAGTAGGCGGATTCACGGCCGGCGCAGGATCTTAGCCTTCATTATCATTCTCTTCAAGTTCCTCCTCGGTTCCTGAAAATGCGGAACCCGCACTAGAAGAGTCAATTGTACCAGGCTGAGTCGGGAGACGTTCTCGAGCAGTTAACTTCAATGTTCCGGCCTTGGCGATCTCATCGTTGATATCAATAACGCCCGTTTTGGCCTCTTCTAAGATTTTCCTCCTCATATGGTACATAAAGTATGTTTTTTCAATAATGAGGGAATCTCTTTGGTGCTGGAGTTTTGCTTTTAGCTGATCAACCTTGTTCAAAAGGCCGTTCCGCTCGGATCTAATGGCACTGAGGCTAAGATCGAGATCACATATTATAGTTATGTGAACCCTGATGTGATCCATGATCTTCTTATACCTATCTTCCATTTGAGCCCGCTTCTCCTCGGTAGCAACAACCTCTTAAGCTTTGGAGTTCAAAGCTTCCTCTAAATTATTTTCTCGTTCAATGGAGGCAGACTCATGCTCGGTTGCAACAAGGGAAGCATTTTGAGACTCGACCCACTTAGCCTTTGCATCTTGAATTTGTGCATGTAGCTGAGTGGCTTCTTGACTGTGAACCATTGCCTCCTACTCATTGGCCGCTTCAGCAGTCTTCGCCTCTAATACCCGGAGACGCGCGACGAGTTGATTCCTCTCGGCCAACAGTTGATCCCACTAGGACATAAGTCCCTCTTTGCCAAGGTTCAATCTTTGAAGGCCCTCGAAAGTAAGGAAGTTGGCCTGCGAAACGAATATCAAAGTCAAAAAACCTGTTGTAACAGATGAATAGAAACAATCAGTAAGAGAATAAGTACGGTACCACTGCCGCACTATGCATGGTGTTATTCAACATACGTTCCCCTGAAAGGAAGTGTATTTTCTTCTTTCTTTTTCTGAAGTCAGCGGCTTCAAATAGTTGGCGAGCTCCATCGGCCTAGACAGCAAGTGGCACTCTTTTGAGATCGAGAGAGAGACGTTCCTCCTCCCTCGGGGATCTACAAAAGGAGATGAATAGTTATTCCCTAAATTCCCATGGTTAGGGGACTGGGGAGAAGGGACATCCTCCTCTCGAACGTCTACGGCCAGTGGAGGAGATGCAGTAGTTGTTGGTGATGAAGGCACAACTAGTGTAAAAGGGGATGAAGTTGATGGTTTTGTAGGTTAGGAAGCAACTGTGAAAGAGGCAGTGCTAATTATTGATGCTCACCAACGAAAGGTAGAGAGGGCTCGATCTCCGACCTCATAAGTCTGGAGCAGCAATTGGGATCGGAAAGGGAGAGTCGGCACTCCACTAAATCCATTTATCCTAGAGCGCTCAAACCTCTCCCTTGGTCGAGGGTTCTAAGCTCTCCAGATTGAGCATTCTGTTAAGTTGATGAAGATCGTTGTCTCCTTTGTAGAGAAACCTCTCCATCACTAGCTTCCCCGTCATAGTCAATAACCATAGTGGCTTCGGCTGGCTCAGGCATGACATTCTTCATTTTTTATCCCCAGCCGAGGAAGAACGCGACCTTTTTGGTTGCTTGTTCTCCAACTGGGGACTCCGAGAGAAAGCAGCTGCACCAGAAGCAGATATGAGGGCACCGCTCCGAGTGAGAGCCTCCTACAACAACCTCACAGCCTCTACAGGATCAGCCAAAACCTCCTCCTCAGGGTAGGAAACAGAACCTTGCGGGAGCCCTGAATCAAACAAAAAGGTATGGTTAGCAAGTTTCCTTATGTAAAAAGGCGAAAAACAAAAAGATCTAGTTTACCGTGGTTCTTGGCCTTCCACCCATATCTGGAGTCCAACTCATTCCACCGACGGGTCTCTGGCATAGTGATGTCCAGAATCCTCTGAACCCATCGATCCAGGCCTTCAACCTTTGATGGTATCCACCGAGTAGCTGAAATAACGAAAGGAAAAGGATTAGCAGTGACATGGAACAACTTTTTTCGAAAAAAGAGGTAGATTTTAAACTTACGCGAACGATTCCATGATTCGGAAAAAGATAAAGTTGTGGCTGGGATGATATCCCTAGTAGCAATGACGACAAACCGCTCCATCCATCCACGTTCATTGTCATCGTCCATGCTGGAAAGCAAAGCATGGTGGCCATGCTTGCTGAAATTTATCACTCTCCTACAGAAGATTTTGGGGGAGTAAAGGTTCATCATATGTGTTAGGGTTAGGGTTTCCCCCATTTTTTGAGTACAACCGGTGCAGACTAGCTACCATTAGCCATATAGAAGGGCTTACTTGTGCCAAACAGACTTGATATCGGTGGCAGAATTCCAAGATCACGGGGTCAAGTCCCCCACTCAATGAGAATGGGCCCAAAGTGAATGGGTACGTATAAATATACGTAAAACCCTTCTTGGTGAAGGTCACTCGCTCCGCAAGGTCAGGAGCAATGATGTTTAGGTCTTGGTAGTTACAATTTTCCTTTACAGTAGGGATGCTAGAAGGGCGAATAGAAGAATGATATTTCCCAACAGCCCAAGTTCGATGGTTTGAGGTAGGGAACTTCTCTTGGAAGTCGTAGGCGATGTTAAGATGTTTAGGTATGATGGTGCTAACCGTGAAAGGATCAGCATCAACATCAACCTCTTTGTCTTTGCTCCTTTTCGCGCCCGCACCGAAGAGAGGACCAGAGTTCTTGGAAGATTTAGTAGGAGAAGCCATAATAATAAGAAAATAATAGAGTCTTTTGAACAAGATCATAGAGAGTTGAAAGCAGAAGGAAATTAAGTGCAAAGAGGGCAAGAGAGCTTATGAAATTGTTAGAAGTGAAAGAAGCAGGATGGGGCGTATAAGTAAAGGTACAGACGACTAAAATCGTGGTCATGATTACCTCGAGAACCGGGAAAAATATTGCTGAATCGTGGGGTAACACATGTTCCGGGTATTAAATGCGAGGAGACTTGTGTCTTATCAAGCAGAAACTGTACAGAGGGCTTCAGAAAAATTTCTCACCAAGAAAGGGATCTTCACCAACTTCCCGGTGACACAAAGATATATCATTGGAAAAAACAGGGGGCTATCTGTATAGGGTAAAATCAGTTCGTATTAAATGATCGAATAATAGCGTGTCACGTGAAACCGGAGATAGATGGAAGATAAACCAAGTAAGACTAAGACCGGGGACAACAACCACAGATGGTATCGGATAGACCCCGAAGGGAGCATAATTCTTGGGAGCAAGACGAATGTTTGCCACTAGATATCATTTACTAAAGAATATTCCCTAGTATTAAATGGGTAGCCGTTACAGAGAATTTTGGCATTCATGGCATGTCGTTACGCATTCATCAATGACCCCCTTTATTGTCATTTAAGAGGGGCTTGACCCTAGGATCTTGTTTCCTAGGTATAACTATAAATAGTGACTTTAACAACCATTGTAGCACACGAAATCTCCGGAAAAAACTAATTTTATACTTTATTCTCAAGAAAATAATACAACTTTACTTTCTATCTAATATTGCTCTTACTGCTGTCCTCGGAAGTATTGCCCCCCGAGCCAGGCTTGCTATTTCCTTTGATTTTAACGCTAAGTCTTATTTTTAATTTAATTTGTTTATCGTTTTGGATCAAATTAGTTCTCTTGTCTATAAACCACGTAATAAATTCAACTATACCATTACCATTTTACGGGTAAACAAGCTTGCAAAGCCAAACTCATGTAATCAACTTGTTAACATGATTGTACTTGATTGATTTGGGAAGCTCATGGCCCTCATCTGGAATTATCTTCCTGCCTCCTTGATTAATAAGTTTATCCTCCCGATTGATCTTGCCTAATGCACAGTTCCAGAAGGGGTTGATTTGAATTTGAAGTGATTTTAGAATCCACTCCATCTTCTAGGCCAAATATACAACACACAAAATTGTCATTGCCATGGTTAACTACTAACAAGAACTAGCAAAAAACTAACAAAAATGATAGACTGGTAGTAGATATGAACTAGTTCACATCAAATAAACACCCACACACACTTACTCATATCAAATACACACCCAAAAACAGATTTGGTAAAAGTATAAATATAAAAAAATTTAATGGGTCAATATTTTATTCGATAAGGAAATTGAGTAATTCGTCTTGAAATCATTAAGTAGTTAATTATAAAATTTCAATCCGTTCATTAATCGTTACCCGATAATCCGATACCAATAAGCTAATAAGCCATATTTTCAGTTCGGGTTAGATTATGGTTCAATTTTGAACCGCCAATAAAATAAAGTTGACCGGTCCAGATAAGTAATCTCTAGTACTTTCAGTCTTTCATAAACCAAGTTATCTTCCACCGGCCGTTTCCTCGTACTTGTCACCCACAGTCACTTTAGACACCGTCGATCTCGATCTCTCTGTCTCTCGTCCAGTCTCAACTCAAATATCTTTTTGTAAGTCTCTTTCGGAACTTTTCCGGGAATTTCATAGCAGATTTGCAAAAAAGAATCGTTTTTCCTTTAGGTACTATAACAACTTATTCTATGTTCAATTCTTCATTTGTTTCCCGTTTTGCGATCTGTTCAGATACTTTCTTTATTTCCTTTTGTGATTGTATAGAAGTTCTTTTCATCTGTGGAGGTTGATTCTTAAGGCTGTTGGTGAAATTGAATTAGGGTTCGTGTTAGATTTTCTGGGTCTTTCTCCAATTTTTGGTTTTTGAAAAAAATCATTTTTTTTCCTAAATTTTTTTTTCTGGAGTTCAATTGTTTTTAAGGTTTTGGCTATTTGAGCTTTCTTACTGCATTCTTGAGTTTTAGCTTGTCGTTTGTTATTCTTAAGGTTGTGTTTCTTCATTGAAACAGTGGTTTTGTATTTCTTTCTGATACTTGATAATTTTAGGGCTTCAACCTTCAATTTTTAAGTTTAGGGAGCTATTTTTATGGCATTTGAATGCCAAAAAGGTACTGAGAGTTTGAAAATTTGCTCAATTGAACCTGCTAAGAGTCGAGATAATTTGACATTAGCCTCAGAGGAAAGAAAACCCTCGTATAAATTAGATGCAAAAGGTGATATTGTGAATTCTAAACGCAAAGAGCTGCTTATTGTTAATGGGGTTCTTCCTGATTGTCGGTCTATCACTGAACTTCCTCCGGTATTGATCTCGGAGATACTTAACTGTTTAGAACCGAAGGAGCTTGGTATTGTTTCATGTGCTAGTACATTATTGTATCGTCTTGCGTCTGAGCACCATGTGTGGAAGGAGTTTTATTGTGAGAGGTGGGGGCAGCCGACATGTCAGGCACATTTTGGTGCAGAGCATTCGGGTGAGAAGTCATGGAAAGAGCTCTTCGTGGAGAGAGAGTTCCGTTGTAAAACATTTATGGGGCGCTATACTATTGATATATTGTATGGTCATACTGAGGATGTTAGGACAGTTTTTGTTTTATCTTCGAAGAAGCTTGTGTTTACTTCAGGGTATGATCAGATAGTACGAATGTGGGACTTGGAAGAAGGGTTGTCAATTGCATCATCTCGCCCTCTTGGCTGCACTATCCGTGCAGTTGCAGCTGATTCGAGGCTCTTAGTGGCTGGGGGTACTGATGGATTCATTCATGGTTGGAGAGCGAATGACGAAAATCCACATTTATTTGATCTTGGAGCTCCTCAGAACCAGAATATGGAATTCCGAGTTTGGGAACATGATGGACCGATAACATGCCTTGCGTTAGATTTCAATAGGATATATAGTGGTTCATGGGACACGAGTATTCGTGTTTGGGATCGATCTTCTTTGGAGTGTTTGGAAGTTTTGATACACAATGACTGGGTTTGGAGCCTTGCTCCCCATGATGCAACACTGGTGAGCACAGCAGGCTCGGATCTTTATGTTTGGGACATTAATAGTGGTTCAAAACTTGCTATCGTCAAGAATGCCCATTCTGGGTACACTTACTCTCTGGCGCGGAGCCACACCGGGAAACTTTTATTCACTGGTGGGGAAGATGGAGCGATACACATGTTTGAGATCTTTGGAAATGCTAGGTGTCATGTCAGGCGTGTTGCAACTTGGATTCCTCACTCAAGTGCTGTTAATTCTCTTGCATTTGAGTTCCCTTGGCTTGTTTCAGCTTCGAGTGATGGAAAACTTTCACTTATTGATGTGAGAAAGCTGTTGAGAACAAACCGGAATTCCACAATGAGTAACTCTTCTAAAGCTGACAATCTGGTTGACAATGTTGAACCACCACAAAGAATGCTGCATGGTTTTGGGAGCAATTTATTTGCGGTGGATGTTGGATCTAACCGTATTGTGTGTGCTGGTGAAGAAGGTGTTGTCAGGATTTGGAACTTCTCTCAAGCTTTGGAGATCGAGCAGCGGGTCCAAGTGCTAAGAGGTTTAAGGTTAGAGAACAGAGTGAGAAGGCGTAAGCATCAACTGGAAATGAATGGTAAAGGTAGGCGTGGTGATCAGTGCTCATTTGCAGCAAAGAAGAACCAAATTGATGGTGATAGGATTAGGAACAGCTGGCACAACAGGCGTAGGATGACTTGGAAAGTGAAGGCCTAGAAGTGATGGCAGTTTGTCATTGATCCTAGGATAATTCTATTTGCTAATAGCTAATCATGTATGTATGGAAAGGCATATTATTGGTTTAAGGGTTCCGTAGTTTCACCTCTCTCATTTATACTGGCATTTGAAGTGAAGGTACAATCTGTATTCTTTACTACTTTTTCGTTTATTTCTCTTATTTGATCTGTTTCTTCTGGCACTACAAGGGCTTGTCTACTTTTAGTCTCTGATCACTTTAGGATGTACCAGTGTTTCTCTTAATTTGCTGACGTTGGCTATGAAATCCTTATTTTCAAATTTGTACTGGCATAGTGAGAAATTAAATGGAGTAATATCTTGCCTAATTTTACATGACAATGCCAGACCAGTTTCAGGAATTTATCGTGGATTCAGAACCTATCGTTGCTTTTAACATACAATGATTCCTTAGAGACTAGTTCTGATTTGATGATCCAAGGCAGAGAAGCTGTTTTGTGATTACCCCCTTGATTGAGAACAGTTATTTGTTGCTGTGAATTTTCAAGCCTGATCAAGACTGGCCAAGAAAGGGGTACCCATATCTTACAGTCTGCTGAAACCTATTCTACTCGAAATATATCCAAGACTTACTAGGTCTCATTGCTTTTATATTACTGAATTTACGAGCTCCGTGTGTAGTTACTCATTTTATCAACACCATCATTGGTTCGCATCCCTTGAACATTCTTTTGATCAGTCTAACTTCTTCCAATCGACAAAACATTCAGTTACTGGTTTGGATATTTGATCAAGTGATGCTGAAAAGTTTTTACTTTGGCTTGATCATGCAACCAGCACAGAGATTACATGTGGAATATTGAACTTTGTCTTCTATGTTTCACCCTTCCCAAAGTAGCCACTTTCTGATAACAAGGCACAATCTTAAAATTTACTAAGTTACACATTCCTTAATCCTGACAAAATTAACCCATAAAATGGGATTAGGCTTCCGTTCCATTCAGATGCAGATTTACTTAAGAGTAGCTGTCACTGTGGTACTTATGCCCAGTGTTATCAAAGGCGCGCTTAAGCCTTGAAGCGATACTCAAAACATGTTGAGCGCTTCGCCTAGCTTAGTGGGCGCTTCAGTGTTGTTATCAAGTCTCTAAGGCATAATTTCCTTGTCAATGAGCGTAATACTGAAGAGGTGACACTAAATAATTGATATTTCACTTTATCGTAAATTTTCTTCCATTTCTTTGTCATATATTTGGTATTCATGCTTATAGATATTAGTCTTGGACTAGACATACATATTTGTTGTTTTTCTCCATTTGTGCCTTTCTTCATTAAAGCTCATACGCTTTATTTGCGCATAAAGCCCCAACAGACCTTAGAGCTTTTTTGCGCTTTTCGCTTTTGATAACGCTGCTTATGCCCAACTGCTGGGAAAAGCGTTTACCAGTTCCCAGTTGAAACACTCTTCTTCCAAATGCAGTCACCACTTACAATGTCATGGTCGATTATTATGGTGATGTTCGGGCCCATTTGACTATTTCACCTAATAGCTTCCACACAGCATAGGAACATCATGGACAATATTAAACTGGCTTTGAGCCTGTATTAACTTTATTGCAGATATGTACTGCTGATCCATTCTACTTAGAAATATACGTCAGAAGATTAATTTCTTGTATACAGTTTGTGTGGACTTACTTGTATCTGTAAGGATATTAACACCAGGGGGAGCTTCACTTTGAAATCATGCTACTATTACTCTTTTCCTGATAACCAATAGCAATTGCAGTTGATGATATGCAAATTTCGAAGTATTTGGATTTGGAACCTTTTATTCATGCAAGCTGCATTAAGGTAAGAAATTCAGCTGATAATATATTTGGTAGCGGGCATGTACTAGTTTGGTCCTTGCCGTTGACTAAAGTTTGGTATTGAAATAGGAAATAGAGGGGCGGAACCATATTCCCCGAGCTTTTGACATGTGTGCCAGTTGTAGTTTGGCCAGCTAACTTACAGAGAAATTTCTCGGTTACCAAAAAAAGAAAGGAGATGGGATGGATGGGAAGAAGGGAATGGTCCTCGTATAGTTGTTCTAGGGGATGTAATTGCTTTATTAATCTGTATGTCCTTCACCATTAGCGACAAGTCCTACATTTGAGCTGTCATTCTTGTGCTGGAGCTAAATTAATGGTATTCTGTGTCGAATAGGTTAGTAGCGAGAAGTTTCATACAACTGACACGAGTTGTATGAGGTTCTTTTTTGTCTCACAAATTTGTGGACCTCAATCTTACACTTCTGGGTCCACAAAAATCTGGGTTCACAAAACTGTGAGACAAAAAACAGCCTCATACAACTAGTCTCAGTTGTATGAGACAAAATAAAATTTTCCGGTTAGTAGTTGCTTTTCATGTTACTCCTATTAGTAAGTGAGATCAATTTTCATACCAACACCCACGTACTTTAATTTCTTCTTTCATGGAGAAAGTCAATTATAGTTTTTACCGTAAAAATGGTAATAACAATTAAATTTGATTTAGTGGTTCTAAAAATACATGATCTATTTTTATGCTAGTTGTTAGATAGTTGATGCTACGTGAAAGACTTAGACAACGAAATGAGAGCTTAAAATCGAGATATTAATCAAACCGAAGCGCTGTCGATCGGGGCCTCGAGTTCACCTATTCGAGGGCCTCGGGGTCGAATCTGATGCTCGGCTGTGAGTTACCGAGGGTGGTCGAAGGAGTCTAACAGTTACAAATAAATCAATGATGACTCTTTATGACCAATAATAAGCAATAAATGATAAACTTTTAGTATAACACAATAAATATGAGCAATGAATGAAGTAATAAAACCAAGAGAATATGTTAGAGAGTAGAGAAAATGTTCTTGAGTTTTTTTTTAGTATGGAGCAACAGATGTTTACAAAATGACAAACATCCCCTTTATATAAGAGGGAGAAACCCAACATAGTACAAATGCATTAATTACAAAGATATGTGGCTGGTACATCCATTAAATGCCTTGATTCGCCTTTTGGTCTAGTCCACTAGACTTGACCTGTCATATGCACGTGCCTTGGGAACTCCACCCTAATTCGCCGAGATCGGTAATTCACAACGTCTCAGGACCGGTCATTAATTATACTATCACGAAGTCGAACTGTCTTGAAGTCGACCATGGAGAATTCTCGGAGTCGATCACTGGAAACCCTCGAGGTGCTTTGATGCCCGTGAAATCTAGCCGTCAATTTCCATCGTGTACAGATAGTCCCCGCGTTTCCTAGAACAAAGTGATAGGAAACGATTTTGAGCTCCTACTCCATAAGCATCAGTGCTATGATGTCAGCCCCCCAGAGCATTAAATGCGGTACTCAAAAAGCCGCGCAAGGGTCGCCGTCAAACACGACTATCGAGAAACCCACGAACCGCCTCTGGTTCGTCCTTTCCGCTGCCCACACGGCCTCTATAAATGCATCAAACGTTTGGTAATTCATACTTTCACAACATATTCAAATTTTCAAGGCCAGACCCATCCCCTTTCGCAATCTTTCTACTTCCGCTCTTGATCCTTTGCCTACTTTTTCAGAAAAGTTTTATCACCATCATGGCTAGAACTTCCAAGACAGTTCCTCAAAAAGATGAGGCTGCCTCTTCATCCCGAACATCCAAAGGAAAGCCCAAAGTGATACCCACCGTTGCACAATGTACTCTTACCAGGTTTGACACGACGAAGGATTTCTCCGTCGACAAACCTTCGTCTACGCCGGGCCGATGCGAACATGTGTCCCGGTACATTAGCGTTGTGACCGATATAGAGAAAGTGAAGGAAGACTGTCGATGGGCGGAGGCAACACTGGTAGAGATACCCCGCTCTAACAAGAGCATAACGGATCACAAAGCTGGCTTCCTTTAGTATACCTATCCGTTCATTGTGGGTCCGTTCGATTCTCCTAACCCTTCTTCCCCGGAGGTAGACCCGGTTATTCTCGATTTCTGCGACAAGTACCAAGTGACGCTGGGTCAAATTTATCCGTCCTTCTGGATGATAGTTTACATGCTTCGCTATTTCTCCAATGGGGTCGAGGGTGAGATCTTTACCCTCGACCATTTGATTAGATTGAATAGCCCTCGATTTTATCGAGGTTTGATTAAGCTTCAACACAAGTCCAAAAAATTATTTTTCTCGAGCACCGATGAGGACAAAGATCGAGGATGGATGAGCAGGTTCGTTCGAGTGAGGACCTCAGACATTATCCCGGCCGGGAGGATGCCATTCCCGGAGAAATGGAATACACAGCGTAAGTATTTTTTTTCCTTTGAGCATGCTCTGTGATTTTCTTACCTCTTTTCCGAAAAATGATTTCTCATTGTTTTTGCAGCCGCCACTTGGTATCCCGAAGCGGTTTAGGATCTGCCGGATGGATCGGGCGGTTGGATACTGCGTTCCCGTATCTCGTCCGGTCTTGGCCCGACCTAGCTAAAATGTGTGGGTGGCCAAGAATCATGGTAAAGTTCTTCTTACCTCTTATATCTTAATCTTATGCTTCTCTCTGGTATCCTCTGTGCTAATAAACTCCGGCCACTATGTTTGTGCAGGCCTTGGCGATGGTGTGCGGATGCGACCACCTCCCGATGGCGAGGCGGAGGCTTCGAAGCCTGCTAAGGGAAAGAAAAGAAAGAATAAGGCGGCTGCTGACTCTCCTGAGGCAAAGTAACCCAAATCACGTAGGCCTCGAGCTGCCACCGGGACTTCGGCTTCAGCTTCCGGAGCAAGTCCCGACACTGGGGATGAAGATGATGACGATGAGGGCTAGTACTTTTGGCACAGAGAACGAGGTCGGGCGCGGGAGTCCTGCAGATGCCCCGACCAGAGGCCGCTGAATCAGGAACGACCGATTCGGATCGATCCCGTGAGGTAGAGACCCTCGGGAGGGTGTGAATGTGGTCCCCGATCCCATGACCGAGTGTGGTGCAACCCTCGCTGGGGAGACTGTTGCGGCTGGTCCTAAAGAGTCCGAGCCCGAAGCTTTTCGGGGGTAGGAATTGCCTCTTGGTGACATCGATTCCTTGGATGGCCTTGATTTGGTCCCTCAGTTCTCCTTTGGGGAGTTAAGGGATGCTCAGGACCCAAATGCTACCAACGTGGGAGGTCCTCTCAAGAGGTGCGTTTGGCGACTTCCTTGATGACGTCGACGATGCCAGCGAGGGCATTGGCCTCGATGCTCCCCGCGCTATTGAGGCAGCGGAGAAGTTCCAGCGACAGGTGATGGCTGTTCATTTAT